AATACAAAGTATCCCTGAAAACATAATATTTCAAAATGATTTCACCAAATGATTTGGGATAATCATCGAACGCCTGAAATGCTAACAAATCATTTACCGGAATAATCATATCAAAAGTGACATCAACTTCTTCATTTGCTTTCTTGAAAACTTCTGAAGGGTCAATATATTTACCACATACTGAGTTATCATATTTTTGAACATTATTATATAACGAATGAACAAACTTTTTAACTTTCCTTTCTGATTTTGGTTTATATGTTGCAAATGCGAAAGATTCACGGGCGCAATCCATCTGAAGATAACCGGCATCACCTCTTTCGGTTTCTACTTCTAATTGTTTAAAGTTTTGATTTGATGATTTGTAACCAACGAATAAACGCATGCATTTAAAAGCGGCATCACATGTGAAAGCTTTATTTGAAACTAGAGTTGCTTTAACTTTGCGTTTAATATATGTGTCACCTAATTGGTTCACATCATGAGCCGGATTTGTAATTCTTAAATGAGTTTGTTTATCATCAAAATATGGAGCATCAGAGTCATAGCATGAACTTTCAAGTTCTCTATAATATCTTCTACCGTCATTCTTTGCGAATATTTCATTTATCTTTTCGAATGAATGAAATACATTTCCATTAATCGGTTTAGTGTTTGGCACCAAATAGTTAGTCGTCATTTATGATGAAATAAAAAAATCAAAATTAAAAGATGAAAATGAATTTTTAATTTTAATGAAATAATCAACTATGGCTGCAGGATTCTTTAAAAAGTTATGGGAAGGAATTAAGAAAGCTGCAAGTTGGGTTCATCAGAAAATAATAAAACCCATTGCAAACTTTTTGGCACCAGTAGCGAAAACGGCAGGAACTATCATAGGTGGAGTATTAGGTGCTAAAGCAGGTAATCCAGCGATGGGAGCACAAGCAGGTAACGCAGTTGGTGGAATTGCTGAAGGAATACTTAATAAAATAGGAGGAAAGTAGTGGAAAAATAAATATTATTTTTATCTCAATATCGGTTGTAGTCGACGATAAACTTTATCTCCTTTATTTAATACTTCCCTTACCGGAACATTAGGTGCTATTTGTTCTGCAACGTCACTAATTGCTTCTTTATTCTTAAATATCCAATTTGCTCCCTTCTTCATTGTTTCCCAAACTTTATGCGCTCCTCTTTTTACTTTATCCCATAACTTTTTAAAGAATCCTGCAGCCATTTCTGATTTAATATTAATTAAAAAATATATTTCATCACTTATATTCTAATTTTTATTTAATGATAAATGAAACCGATTTTAAAAATAAATGAAACAGAGGAGGAAGAAATAAATGAGTGTCAAGATGTTCAAAATAAAATAAACATTGTTAAACCCATTACTGAAACAAAAATTTTTTCATCTGTTGAAGAATTTAATGACTATTACGCAAAGAATAAAAAATTATTTGAAGAATTGCAACATGTAAATTGAATAAAATGTTTAAAGTTGATGGATTCAAAATTTCAAAAATAAAAGGTGTTGTTAGTTTAAAATCTATTCCTCAATCAAGAATCACCTCATTAATGAAAATTGATGATTTAACAAAAAGAATAGAAATTATTGAAGAAAGAATGAATCAAATAATTGATTTCATAAATCATGACTCGTTGAGCCCGGGTCCTTAAAACCCAAGGTACAAAAGTGCCCAGGACTTAAAGTCCATCACTGAGTTCAAGGTTATATTCATCAAATATTTCATTATTAAATGCAACTTCTGCTAGTTTATTTATTTTTTCAATACGATCATTTGAAAGTCTATCGTTTAATTTTTTCTGAAGTTTTTCGTTACCAAGTTCTGAAACTTTATTTGGATGATATGTAAATTCATGAAATTCTTTTTCCTCAGTTTTGATCATTAATTTACAAAGAACTTTTGTGGTTGGAATTCGTTTGAACCATTTATCCTTAATATTTGTTATAAATTCAATATCTGGAATTAATTCCCAAATTTTTGCATTTTCAATTAATTTATTATCAAATGCAAAAGCAATGGGTTTAATATTAAACTTACCTTTATAATATAAACTTTCTACATAATCATCGAAATAAACATCTACTTGTTTAATATTTTCAAGAATTGGTGAAAGAGCATCCATTAATTGATTGACGGTTACGAATCTTGATCCACTCATTTATGTAAGAATAAAAAAATAAATTATTTTAAAATTAATGTTAAAAATAATGATACAAAATCGTTCAATATTGTATGAATTCTTACGTTTACAAAAAAAGTCACACAACCCGCCATATATACTACTTTGTTGATTTAAAGTTTTCACAATTGATTTTAATTCAAAAAATCATCATTTAATGCTTTGACTTTAGATTGGCTTGGAAAGGTGTTGTGCATAACTTTTGTTCGTATGAGATGATTAGCTTATCGGCAAATGTGAGCTTCAAAAGATTTAAATGAGAATAAAATTAATTTAATGTGATTTAAATATGAAAGTTTCATTTGCTAATGCTTTATTTTAACTTTATTCATGATATTGCGTTGTGAGAAATGTAGTAATATCCGATATTAATTTACAGTGAACAGGATTAAGTTGTTATTTGTTAAAAAGCCTTACAAAAGGAATTCAAAATTATCCAATATTATCATGTTAAAAGTGACAAGTTAATCAATTGTTTTACAGTTTATTACTCCGAAGAGTTGGATCATCCATTTATTTGATAATTTGGATCGATAAGGCTCGCTTTGGTAGTGCAAATATATACAATGCTCTGATTTAAATGTTACTTTATAGCCAAAATATTCAAAATCTTGAATTGAATAAGTCAAACTATGGATAATATTTGATGAATTGATATTTAAACTTTAATTAAAGGCGTTTTATTTGAGTTTCCTCATATACAAGGTAAAAATTAATTTAATTATCAATCACAATAATTTGAAATAAATTATATATTAATGCAAGTAATGAATCATATTATTCAAATTTTAATAATCCTCAATAAGTTTACATAAAAGCCCATATCAAACAATGCGGAAATCAGTAATATAAAAGTGTTGAAGTATGAGCAATGGAATATAAATGAATTTATATTTCTAGAGATTGGGCTGTTTAAACAATTACTGTACAAGTTAAATTGAATTTTAACAATCGAATAAATTCATTCGTCTTAATATTTATATTTATTCATTTATCATTCTTTAGGAATGATTTATTAATAAGGGAAAAAATTTGAAGAAAAGTTGGGAGATCTTTATCAACCAATTATAAAATCTAATAATTGTCGAAAGAGATTGTCATATTGCATGATGTAAGCATTGTGGTCAAGTAATTTTGTTAATATTACAATTAAAAAAGTTGGCCATTTTCAAATTAGCTAAAAATATGAATTAAGCGTGTTTATTAAGGCGGCCAAAATGTCGCTAATTGGTTTTAGGTGCGATAGCATTCATTTGGTTATTTATTGAGAAGTTTATTATTAATTTTTACATTGAAAACATATTTCTGAATTAAAATAATTTGTAATTTTGGAAATTATTATCATATAAGTGATTAGTAGCAAAATAAAATAAAATTTCAAAATATTGAGAAGACTGGTAAGGAATAAAATTTTAAAAATAATTACTAGAATTCATGTGGTAATCATATATTTTCGATAAATATTTAGCATTCCCTCAAAAATATAATGAAAAGATTGAATGAGATGATTTGAAAAGAAAAAATTGAATTAGATTCAAAACTTCGACAGTCTTAGGTTCGAAGATATTTTAAAAGAGTAATATATCATAAGATGAAAAACAAAAACAAAATCATATGATAAAATTGAATAGGAAAGTAAATCAAATTGAATTAAAGACGCACATATGACAAACATGTTTTCAAATAGTAGCATCGAAATGGTAGTTTTTATTTTCAGCGTCAATAGGAAATGGCAAAAACACGAAATTTGGTATGTTTGTATACTATTCAAAATTAACTGATAAATCATTTTGAAAAAAATCATTTTTAAAATATTGCAATATAGATGATATATGATCGATTTGTAAAATTGGTTGAACATTTATTTTTGAATATCATTTTTTTCAATAAGATTCGTTTAATATAGGTTAAATTGTGATATAATTTTTGATTCTCTATAATTGTATATTGATGATTGATATTTCAAACTTCTGTGAATTATGATTTTATGCAATGGTTTGGAAGAATATTGTCTGAAAAGTCAATATTGTGATCTTTCGATAGTATTATTAATAATATCTATTATAAGAAATGATCCGGTAGAAAATATCAAGAGGTCATTTCAAAAAATACTGAGCTTTGTCAAAAAATAAAATTTAATAATCATTATATTAATGAATACTGTATACGATGAAATTTTTAGTTTTTGCTCGAGTTACTCAAAAAATAATCGTGGCAAAAATTTCAATTATTATTCTTCGTATATTTTTTATTATTAACTATTGTATTAATATGGAAATATAATGATATAGAAAAATTGATTGAGAATATTTAAAATTTCGAAGGTTGAAAATTATGACAAGTTAGCCCGGACATCTAGTAATTTTGTTTATTTTTCGCCTTAGGCAGAAACGTACGCTTGAACGCTAGGTTTTACTTTTGAAAAGATATTTATTGATTTCGTTTTGTCGATTAGAGATTTATAACCTATATACCTAATTAAGAAAAATCAAATTAATTACTAAATGTTCGATCAATGAACTTTCAGCGTTTGAACGTTTACTATTTCATGTAACATAATTTCGAATCGATAAATTCTACGTATAAGTAAATGTTAGTTGATCTTGTTTCTTTTTGTCTGAAGAGGACGTTTACAAATAAGATTTTACATTCAAAAAGCAGATTCAATAAAAAATTAACACTCATATGTACTGAAGCTCCCAGGAAATTTCTGAAATTGAAAAATATTTCTCAAAATTTTCTGAATGCTAAAAAATCAATACCCTTGAAAAATCGAATTGAGAACCATATTTTTCCCCGCCAAATTTATGCTACAGATGATGCCACGATCCCCTTTAAATTTACGCATTGCCTGGGATTCAGGCGTGATTCAATCAATCAATGATATGAAGATACAGAAGTCCGTAAGCGAGAGGCTCCTTCCGTTTCCAAGATTTCAACCGAAACATATAGAGCCCAAACAATGTACTCCTTACTCTAAAAGCATCCTACGCTCATACAGACAAATAGAAAATAGCTTATTCTCAAGAAACAATAGTATTAACACTAAATTAACCTCTCAAGCATTAAATGATCGATTCCTAATTACTGAGTGGATGGTCGAGTTTTGCATCAGCTATAAGATTAATCATAATGTCACATCGGTAGCTATTAAACTTTTTGACTACATCAACTCCATTGAAGTCATTCCACGAGACAAGGCCAAATTACACGCTGGCATGTGTATATTCATTGCTAACAAGCTCGAAGGTGAAGATTTTGATGAGATATGTTCCTTCTTAGTAGAAGATTTAGAGAATATAGTTTTAGATGATATAGTTCAAACAGAGCTTCATATATTGCATCTTATCAGATTTAATGCTAGATTCATTACTCCACAGATGTATATAGAACAGATGATTGATATCCAGGAAAACTCGCAGCTATATCAGGCCGTGATCGTTCCAATATTATACTGCCTCATGACTACGAAGAATTGGATTGAATATAGAAGCGAAGAATTAGCTATAGCAGTAATAGAGATAGTCAAATACATCTTAGAAATTCCAAACTTCATCACGAATTTGGAATGTTTTACTGCTGTATTCCTTTCCATACGTTCTTGTCTCTCTAACGAATGCTCTTTCATTTCTCAAAAATTTGATAATTTAGCTGAATACTTCAAAAACTGTGAATTGTAAGTAAAAATTGTTGTTTTGTTTTAGTTATTTTAACTTTTTTTTATCAACTGATGGTTTGAGTCAAAAATGTAACCATAAAATTTCGAGTCCATTCAAAATTTGTGGAACCGAAACAAATTAAGTTCAACTTGAAGTCTTAATATAAAATATTGTATATGGTTCTATCTATTTCTTTTTCAGCAAAAATTTCCATGACGACCGTGAAATAATCTTGGAAGACACTTCCAAAAGCTAACTCTTTGATTCGGGATTTTCTGCAGAATGTTCTTAATTCTAAGTATTTGCTGCGAATGCATTTTGCATAAATACGAGTATTGATGCTCAATTCGAGTAAGATTGTTTTTTACAAGATCTTTGATTTTACATACAAGCCATATACATTTCCCTAGTTAAAGATATCAATAAATATATCGCTGATTAAACGAAAATCTGCGAAAATGATAAAAATGTTTACATTAAGCATGATAATTAGTATATTTATTAGTAAATTGAATTATATATTGGAACGCAATTTGCTTTGGCAGATATCTGGGTACGAGCATTATCCGTTATTTCCTGGACTTATAAATTCGTTTTCAAACCAGCAATTCCGTATGAAAGTTTTACTATAGTAAGCTTACATTAATGTTTTAAAGCCATGCGAATCAATAAAAAAAGCAGATAAAAACGAATAGTAGTATATGTTGACGGGTTGTGTGACTTTTTTTGTAAACGTAAGAATTCATACAATATCGAGCGATTTTGTATCATTTTTTTTAACATATGAAGTAAAAAATGTATGATTCTTACGGTTTTTATTCTTACGTTTTTGAATAAATCAAGATTTAAAAAATTTTCAAAATTGTAAGACATTTACACTCAGCCCAAACATAATGAAATAAAAGAAGCTATATATAGATGATGTCAGATATTCCGCGATTAATTAAACATTGTTTAAATCCTGAATGGAATCAATGGAGTCATAATCAAAGACCTCATAAACGAGTAAAAGAAATTAGAAATAATTATTTTCATGAATAAAAAATAAACTTTAAAAATTCAGGGAACAGGACAAATTTGCCACACGGCACTTTTTTTAAAAAAATTAATGGAGCGGAGCGATACTCTGCTGCAGGAGCCCCAAGGCTCCCAATCATTACGAAAGGGAGCCTCAGGGCTCCTGAGAATCCATCAGCAGAGGCCTTTTCATTTGGCCTCTGCTGATCAAAGATTCGGCGAAGCCATTCTTCGTCTCAGGAGCCCCAAGGCTCCCAATCATTACGAAAGGGAGCCTCAGGGCTCCTGAGAAACCTCTTTGAGAAGGTTTTCTTTAAGAAAACCTTCTCAAAGATGATTGTCAGCATTCACTCAAAATCTACCAAGAGTTTCAAAGTTTCAAATCTATCTGAAATGAAGCTTTGAATCTCTTGTATATCTAATTGTAGAGGTACCTTTTCAAAATGTCTTCTATTGATTAAATTTAATCAGTAAAAGTCATTTTGAAAAGGTACATCTCTATAATTGCTATTGAGCATTCACTCTTGGAACCTTGGAGCTCTTGTGTAGTGCATGAAAACTCCAAGATTCTAGAATAAAACATATATCATAGACATAATTTCTTCAAATATAATTTAAGGTTATTTTTTAAAAAAATAGAAAAGCGTAATTTAAGGTTATTGAAAAAGTGACAGTTGGCAAATTTGTCCCGCACTCAAAAATTCATGTCTTACATTTTTGAATAATTTATTTTTTTATTTTGTATGAAATGAGTGAATCAAAATTCGTGACTGTAAATCAATTAATGAATAAACTTTCACCAATTCTCACCCAGGTTAAACAAGTAGACGTTTATTTTATAAAGGTAAGTTTAATATTAAACCTATTGCTTTTGCATTTGATGGTAAATTAATCGAAAATTCAAAAATTTGGGAATTAATTCCGGATATTGAATTTATAACAAATATTAAGGATAAATGGTTTAAACAACAAAACCACCTCACTAAAGTTCTTTGTAGATTAATGATTAAAACTGAGGAAAAAGAATTTAACGGGTTTAAATATCATCCATGTAAAATTTTAGAACTTGGTAACGAAAAACTTCAGAAAAAATTAAACGTAAGACTATCAAAAGATAGAGTTGAAAGAGTAAATAAACTCGCTAATGGTAATGATGAAGAAGAATTTGATGAGTTCAACATTGAACTTTAAGAAACTAATGATTATTTGAATTTATGAAATCAATTATTTGATTCATTCTTTCTTCAATCTCTTCTATTCTTTTTGTTAAATCATCTATTTTCATTAATGAGGTGATTCTTGATTGAGGAATAGATTTCAAACTAACCACTCCTTTTATTTTTGAAATTTTGAATCCATCAACTTTAAACATTTTATTCAATTTACATGTTGTCAATTCTTCAAATAATTTTTTATTATTAGCATAATAGTCATTAAATTCTTCAACAGATGAAAAAATTTTTATTTAATGATAAATGAAACCGATTTTAAAAATAAATGAAAGTGAAAATGTTCAACAAAAAATAAACGTTGTTAAACCAATTACTGAAATAAAAATTTTTTCATCTGTTGAAGAATTTAATGACTATTATGCTAATAATAAAAAATTATTTGAAGAATTGACAACATGTAAATTGAATAAAATGTTTAAAGTTGATGGATTCAAAATTTCAAAAATAAAAGGAGTGGTTAGTTTGAAATCTATTCCTCAATCAAGAATCACCTCATTAATGAAAATAGATGATTTAACAAAAAGAATAGAAGAGATTGAAGAAAGAATGAATCAAATAATTGATTTCATAAATTCAAATAATCATTAGTTTCTTAAAGTTCAATGTTGAACTCATCAAATTCTTCTTCATCATTACCATTAGCGAGTTTATTTACTCTTTCAACTCTATCTTTTGATAGTCTTACGTTTAATTTTTTCTGAAGTTTTTCGTTACCAAGTTCTAAAATTTTACATGGATGATATTTAAACCCGTTAAATTCTTTTTCCTCAGTTTTAATCATTAATCTACAAAGAACTTTAGTGAGGTGGTTTTGTTGTTTAAACCATTTATCCTTAATATTTGTTATAAATTCAATATCCGGAATTAATTCCCAAATTTTTGAATTTTCGATTAATTTACCATCAAATGCAAAAGCAATAGGTTTAATATTAAACTTACCTTTATAAAATAAACGTCTACTTGTTTAACCTGGGTGAGAATTGGTGAAAGTTTATTCATTAATTGATTTACAGTCACGAATTTTGATTCACTCATTTCATACAAAATAAAAAAATAAATTATTCAAAAATGTAAGACATGAATTTTTAAAGTTTATTTTTTATTCATGAAAATAATTATTTCTAATTTCTTTTACTCGTTTATGAGGTCTTTGATTATGACTCCATTGATTCCATTCAGGATTTAAACAATGTTTAATTAATCGCGGAATATCTGACATCATCTATATATAGCTTCTTTTATTTCATTATGTTTGGGCTGAGTGTAAATGTCTTACAATTTTGAAAATTTTTTAAATCTTGATTTATTCAAAAACGTAAGAATAAAAACCGTAAGAATCATACATTTTTTACTTCATATGTTAAAAAAAATGATACAAAATCGCTCGATATTGTATGAATTCTTACGTTTACAAAAAAAGTCACACAACCCGTCAACATATACTACTACGAATCTGAAATTAATCAGAATTGCCCAAACGCATGCACAGTAACGAAAAATAGATGTATGTATTAGGTATTGAATTAAATACAAACTATAATACATTCTTTATTTTGAGTACTAACAAATTTTGTTCAAAAATCAGCGATATCAATTGGATTGTTAACAATTCTGTTAACATTATGCATTGTCTTTGTAAACTTCTTATAAGTTGATTTCTTAACCGGAGCATCAGATTTAGGTTGAGGTTTTGCTCTTGTTATCTGCATTTGAAGAGCAATTGGTACTGAAATTTCCTTTGGAAACTTCTCTATTATGCGAGAAACCTCATTTGCGTTTGCATTAAAGAAATCTTCAAGTGTTTGTGTTTCTGCTGCTTTAAGCATTTCATTAAGTATCTGTAACTCAATATCTCTAGTTGTCTTTAAGTTTGTAATCTCTTCTTCTTGCCTTTTAAGCATTAATTCGGCCATATGATGCATTCTTCTGTCAAATTGCTTGATATCATCGCGTCCACCTGTTTTAAGTATTTTAGCAGCTTGTTTCTGTAAGTTTATCGCAGCGTCAAAATTGTATGTATCTGCAACGAGTTTTGCAGTATCAAGAGTTTGTTGATATTGCTCTTCTACGGTATAAGTAACTGAAGATCGTTCTTGATCCCAATCCTCAATGAGATCTTCTAATTCATTTCGATGGAAATCTCTTAATTTGATGAATTCATTTTTATGAAATTCAATTGAGTAGTGTTTTGCTCTTTCAATATCTTGTGAGTATCTTTGGATATTTTCATAGATTTGGTTTGATATTTCGTCCTTTTTCTCCAAATAGTTAGCGACATGTCCTGCAATTGCTTTTGTTTCTTCGAAATTTTCAAGATATTTGATTTGTTCGTGATAGTATTTGGCAGCCTTGTAATCGCAGTCTTCAATGGCTTGATTCATTAATTCAACCGCCTCAGCAGATGTTTTTGGTTTGGCGCGCTTCATCAAAAAATGACTAAAATCAACAAAAGAAAACATATTATGAAGTCAAACTTAAATAATCATTTAACTAAAACTTGATTTCAAAACAGAAATTAAAAATATTTATATCAAATTCGGTTTCATATATGTAGAAGGTGTCTCATTTTAGAAATCGAATTAGAGACTATGTTTTGTAAAATTATAAATTAATTACTTTATTTCTTATCCTTGTTATCACTGATAGCGTTGTAGATTTCCATTGATGCAGCCTTAAGAGCATCATACTTCTCTTCGATCTTCTTTTCATCATTTCCAGCGATTGCATCCTTGAGATCCTTGACAGAATCTCTGATTCTCTTCAACAAGTCAGCTGGCAACTTCTTTTCGTTTTCAGAAATTGTCTTCTCGATCTCGTTGATGTACTGTTCCATAGCGTACTTCTTCTCGAGGATCTCACGCTTCTTCTTGTCTTCAGCTGCGTGTTTCTCAGCGTCTTCGACCATCTTAGCGATTTCTTCCTGAGAAAGGCCGCCGTGTTGCTGGATTGTCATCTGTTGTTCCTTGTTTGTCTGTTTATCCTTGGCAGAAACGTGGACAATTGAGTTTGCATCGATATCGAATGTGACTTCGATCTTTGGAACACCGCGTGGTGCTGGAGGAATTCCTACTAATGTGAATTCACCGAGAAGTTTGTTTCCTTCTACGAGATCTCTTTCTCCCTGGAAAACTCTGATGTTTACGTGTGTCTGGCCATCAGCAGCTGTTGTGAACTCCTGGGACTTCTTTGTTGGGACAACAGTGTTACGTGGGATCAATCTGGAGAAAACTCCACCCATTGTTTCGATACCAAGAGAAAGTGGAGTGACATCAAGAAGAACAATGTCCTTGTGATCACCGCGCATGACTGAGCCTTGGATGGAAGCACCAATAGCGACAACTTCATCAGGATTGACACCACGGAATGGATCCTTTCCGAAGAATTCTCTGACGGAATCGATGACCTTTGGCATTCTTGTCATACCACCGACAAGGATGACTTCATTGATCTGCTGTGGTGTAAGGCCGGCATCCTTGAGGCAGTTCTTGCATGGATTGATTGTACGTGCGATGAGATGCTGTGTAATCTTTTCGAAGTTTGCACGAGTGATTGGCATCTGAAGGTGCTTTGGTCCAGCGCCTGTAACTGTAATGTAAGGAAGGTTGATTTCTGTTGTCATCATGGAAGATAACTCGCATTTGGCCTTTTCGACGGCTTCACGGATTCTCTGGAGGGCAAGTGGATCCTTGGAAAGGTCGATCTGGTTCTTGGCCTGGAAGTCTTGGATGACATGCTTCATAAGAGCGGAATCGAAATCTTCACCACCGAGGAATGTATCACCGTTTGTAGCCTTGACCTCGAAAACGCCATCCTTGGAGATCTCGAGGATGGAAACATCGAATGTGCCACCACCAAGATCGAAGACAGCGACTGTTTGGCCTTGTTTACGTTCTGTACCGTAAGCGAGGGCAGCAGCTGTTGGTTCGTTGATTGTTCTCATGACATTGAGGCCGGCGATCTTGCCTGCATCCTTTGTGGCCTGGCGCTGTGAGTCATTGAAGTAAGCTGGAACTGTGATGACGGCATCCTTAACTGTTGTGCCTAAGTAAGCTTCGGCTGTCTCTTTCATCTTTGTAAGGACGAAAGCACCGATCTGTGCTGGAGAATACTCGTTGCCTTTCTCATCTTTGACCCAAGCATCGCCATTCTTAGCTTTGATGATTTGATATGGAACCATTTCGCGGCATTTCTTTGTCATTTCATCCTCGAATGAACGACCGATAAGTCTCTTTGTTGCGAAGAATGTAGATTTGGAGTTTGTGACAGCCTGGCGCTTAGCTTGCTCACCAACAAGGCGCTCGCCTGTGTTTGTGAAAGCAACAATAGATGGTGTTGTTCTAACACCTTCTGCGTTCTGAATAACCTTTGGTGTGCCACCTTCAACGACAGAAACGCAAGAATTTGTTGTACCAAGGTCGATACCGATGATCGGTGTCATTCCTTGTGCGAAGCTACGGAAGAAGAGGCTTCCTGATGTCTTTCCAACGCTGCTAAGCATAAGTGGTCATGTAAACCGTCAAACATGCTTATTTTTTTTCGCGGGCAAAAATAGAATTGAACATTTTTAGCATATTTGTTATATATATAACAATGTGAATGCAATTAATAACGCAGACATTAATTGTATGAAGAGAGAGTGTAATCGAATTGCAATCACAAGAAAGCGAGGTGTTCTTATAGGATTACATGCACAATGATCAATGTTTGTAGCGATTCTCATATTAGGGACGTAAAAAAAATAAGTGAAAGTATAAATTCTATATTTTACTTATGCTAACACAGATTTAATTGTATTCGGGCTAAATGGCCAATACACTGTAATTCCGGATTTCTTGTCTTCTTCGTATTGTAAGTTTAATGCGGCTTCAAATCTGATTGTTTTTGATGGAATTGAAAATGATATGTTTCCAAAGGAATTACCGAATGGAATTTGAATTCCAAATGTGGCTGTAGAGTCAAAAGTAAATGGATTTGCTCTAAGATATGAAGAAATTCGTACTTTATCAAAATCTGAGGTAATGAGTGCTGTTCCTTCGCCATACATCGATGCCATTAATGAAACTTCTGTTCGGTCGAATCTTTTATTAAACATTGCTGACATTGATGGTTGTTCTTCTGCAAGACTGTAAGCAAACTCTACTCCTACATTCTCGCCATGATAGAAGCCTCCTATTATGCATGGCCTCAATGCTAATGAAATTGAGTATTTATTTTGATGAGTAAGAGCAAAAACGCTGGATAAATAGTTTGACTGGTCACCACTTAGGCTAAACTTGAATGTATTGTTACGTAATTTTTCAGGAAGTTTTTCATTAGGTAATTTGAAATTAAAAGCTGCAGTATATGTTTTATCTGAAGTAACATTTAAATAAAATGGAACATTTGGAGAAAATGATGGGTGAAATGAAGCATCCTTAAAGCCTTTTGATGATACAAATAATTCGGCATTGAAAGAAAGTGGATAATTTACTGTAAATCGGCCTTGTAAGAAATCAGCTTCCTTTTTAAATGTAATTGATGGGATATTTGGGCGTAAATGAAGTCGTGAGTCTTCTAAATGATGAGCAAGTCTTTCCCACATCAAATTTTATTTCAAGAATAAAATAAATCTTAATATATAAAGAAATACAAAACAATTTAAATATTAAAACAAATCAAACAAACTACGCAAATAAAAATATCAAAATTATTGCCTGGAATGAGACTTGAATGAGTAATCTTGCTCTTCATTTCGCAATCTATTGTGGATTTGAATAAATCTATCTAACGGAACATCAATTGCCACATCACTATCTATATGATCAAATTGGAATCTTCTATCGCTCCTAGAACTTCGAGATGAAACATGAGAAGATGTATCACTCCTCTCTGATCTTCTCCTATGGGATCTGTGTTGATGTCTTTCAACTGAAAAATCTGAAGATATTGGAGATTCTGGTTTAATTGGTTTAACTTCTTGGATTATTGGTTTTGATTCTGAGACTTTAACTATATCTGTCTGTGAGTCGACATCCCTTGTTGGTTTTGGTGTCATTATCTTAGTTATAAGCTCAATTAACTGAGATGGATTAGTAGTTTTCCCTGTTGGGTCTAATATTTTCAAAGAGTTATTCATTATACTCGATAATATTGTATAGTCTTGATGTTCTTTGAGATTCTGCGAATTAGCTAATTGAAATTCGTTATCTTTTGCTTGAAGCTGCATACGTAATTCAGAAAGTTGTGTTTGTGCTTCGAATAACTTTTTATTCATGTCTGTTTGGTAGCTTATAAATTTTTCTTTGTTTGAACGATTTTTGAGATTTAATTCGACAATTTGATTTAAAAGTTCATTATACTGTGTTCGGGCTTGATCAGCTTGTTCTTGTAATTTCTGCATTCTATCACATTTTGATTGTATTTCCAGTTCGATCTGTTCATTTCTTTCTTTTAACATAAAATTTTCATTTTCCAGTACTTTAATTCGCTCATATGCTGTCTGTAGCGCTGAAGAAGTAATAATACTATCTCCTTCTGACTGTACAGGGGTTGTCTTTAAATTCATTTTCAGAAGCAGAAATTTCAATGGAGAAAATTAAACGTACATTTGAAGATTTTATCATGTGAGGAAAGTGTATGTTCATGAAGTTCAAGCAATCTAACTGAAATCTCTAAAATTAGACTTGAATTCGAAGAATGCTTAAAATTTTTCCATAGGAGAGTAAAAATTATTCCATAATACTTATAAATATTCATATTCAAAATGCACTGAGCTTAGAATTGATAAGTAATTTCGAATTCCAGTATGAAAGATTGAGATTGATGCATTTTATCTCTATGAAGTTGAATTGAACATTATTTTCAATGATGCTTGTGTAAATGTAGTAAAAATAATGTCTTTTAATATGATTATGTTAATAAGCTATCGTATTTTTTGTTATTTTTATTATTGGAGTAGATATGCAATGAGCGGAGAACCAAATATCAAAGAAAAAGTTATCAAGGGAGATATAATGTATCTCACTGAAGTAACAAGGAAAAATGCAATGCATACAAAAGAAAAAATTGATTATTCGAAACTCAAAAATTTAAATGTAAACTTAGAGAATATTAAACTTAGCAAAGGTATCAATAAACGACGTATTTATGGTAGTAATATACCTTTTACAAAAATTGGACAATGGGTTTGTCCAGTCTGTGAAATTTATTTTCGCGATTCAGCTTTATTCCTTAAACACTTAAACTCGCCGGAGCACAATGCAAAGCTTGGTATGTCCTTAAAAGTTAAACAGGTTTCAGACGAAGAAGTTCTTCAAAGAGTCCAGCAATGGGAAGATTTTTATATAAAAGGCATTCCTGTACCACCTATATATCGAGAAGCAAAACCTGAAGATGATGATGCTTCGAAATTATCAGAAGAGGTTCATTTTAAATTTGTTCCTAGTTTTTCAGAGCCAAATCAAGCCCCACAACAGCCAAAAGTTGAACCAGAACCAGAAAAATCTTCTCCTAAGCAAGAAAATGTAAAAGCTGAAGAAGAAGATGCAGAAGAAGAATACGTCTACGAATATGAATATCAGTATGAGGAAGACCAACCTGAATGAGTATTGTAAGCTTGTTAGTATTAGTATTTTATAAATGTGATTCGTTTTTGATGTTATATTTTTCCTATTTTTTGTAATTGCTGAATGTTTTTTACAACAAACTCGTATACTAATCATACGTCATTAATGTGTTGATAATTACCTTAGTTGCAATTGATTTGATGGCGAATTACTTTGTGATTGAAAACAATAATCAATAACTTGTCTAATCTGGCTTGAAACCATTCTTTGTATGAGTATTTATATAGGAATTTAATATTATTTTTCCTTTTTGATCCTTTTGGGGTGTGAAAAAATGAAATTGGGAAGGACTTTTTTGTCAAAATCGAAACCATTTGCTATGGAGAATGACAAGAATGGCGATTCACAGCGTCCACTTCAATCTCTTCAGGGGATCACGTTGAACGAAGCAATAGCATCTATAATTGTTAAGCTTCCAAGCGATAGTTTGGATTTGATCCCAGAGGAAATCAAAGACCTTTTGTCTTATAGAGAGTATTCTGCCCTACACAGTTTCTTTGGTCTCAAGTCACCGAGAAATCGAACTAAAGTCGATATGATTGAATCATTTTTAGCATATACATCTGATGTTTGGTCAGAACTCTTTCAATTAGCAAGGAAATTCCTCGATGAAGCTGAAAAAGGTAAAGAAACACCAAAGACTCCTCAACAAAAGCCTAAAAAACCAAAACCATTACCAATTTTGCGACAAAATCGATTCCAAACTCAGCGAACTCCTTATAATACCCGCTTGAATGATATCATTTCGGATTTATACACATCTAAAAGAGAAAATTGGGAAGACATTTTAGTTATGTGCAATCCAGAAGAGCAAGAACAATTTCGTGAAATATTCTTGGCAATCAACCCTGAGCCACTTCCATTAAAGAGCCAAACTGTTCAGAGAGATCATTTGATTCTACATTATCTTAATGGTCCATCAAGACTTGCCTCAACGTCATTAGAGAATCTTGAGAATAGTGTTATGGCCTTTAAATCAATGATAGATAAGCTTACAAAACCAGTTGTCCAATAATTTGTTGTAATTTCTTCATAAAACTTTTGTTTGTTTTAGCATAACATAAATTTGCTTTTGTATTTTTATTTTTATATCCACCAAAACTTGAAATTATATGGTAAGATTTGAATTCAATAGGAAATTATTTCATCTCAAAATTCTAATGTAGAATGATAGCTAATATACTGATAATTATATTAGCATCATCTCAGCTTCATATATCTATTACAAAATTCAAAAGTCATGCATCAAACTAGAAATTTATAAAAAAATTAATCAGAAATAAAGAAGATTAATGCATTTTCCAGATCATAACGCTCAAAAAAATTGATTAGTAAAACAACAAATAGTATTTAGATAGAAAATTAATTACTTACAAATAAGGAAGGTTCTATTTCCCACACGCAACGTTGTCCGATATTTTCTGCAATGAATATCTTAGGGAAATAAAGCAATCCGTGATTAATCGCATAAAAAGAAAACTCAATAATCTCTTCTTCGCCAGGAAGTAACGAAATTGGAAGGAGATTTGGTCCTTTGATAAAGAAATTCTTGGATTCGCCAACAAGCATGAAAAGGTCAAGCGGAGTTTTTGCATGGCTTGTAATTTCAATTGAAAATTCAGTTTCAATGTATTGGCTTGTTTGTAATGGGAAATCTGTCTTGACTTCGATTTCCCTTGATACAACAGTAGCTTTTGGAAGCATAAGCGAGAAATGGAGAAGATCTGGAAAATCTAAATTTTCAATTTTGTAACTTATATCAATAAAACCAATCATTTTATCTTCTAATGGATTATCAAATATCATGGAGAAGTTTCCGGCAAATTTCTCTTTTTGTTCAATCGAAATCGGAAATGTAGAATTAAACTCGCCAATTTGGAATGATTCGCCTTGTTCTTTAATTGGATGAATAAGTACAGACTCGATACTGCATTTCCATGGAAGAAGGTACTTAAATTTGGCCCAAACTTTGTATTCTTCGTTTGTCGTCAAATTGCCATCGATTTTATTTCGGAAACTGTTGTATATCTTAATGGAATTCTTAAATGGAAGAAGGGCACAAATATCAATAAATTTCTTGAATTTTGTTGGATTATTACTTTTTGAAACTCTGAAATCGAATTCCATGATTGTGGAGATTTGGTTCTTGGCTGTGATGTAAATTATCTTCTCGTATTCTGTATTTGGAGCTTTAATTTCAATTGAAGGATTAACTTGGGTTTTCATGGTCGGAGATGATGAAATTTGGAAATCCCTGGAACTTTCTTTGAATGACCACACGAAAATTAAATTGTAATCGAATGAGGTTCCCGATTTATATTTAATTTTGATTGGAATTGGGATATCAACAATTCCTTTTGGTGGTTGATCAATCTGAACATCTACATAACTTTCGTATGGTTCTATTTCGACGGAAGGGTTGTTCTTTTGTGGATATTTGAAAATAAATTTGTCCATAATAAAGAATATTTCTTTAATTTGGAGTTTGGATGCTCTAGGATGAGGGTCAATTGTAATTGTTTTCGTTAGACGTCCTAACGGTTGAAAGTCGACGTTTTCCAAAACAAAAATTTCTTCATTTGGATTATTTTCTGATGCAAGGAGTATTTTAATCGATATCTCTTGCATTGGTTCTGAGATATAGCTATCAAAACTAAAAGAAATGGTGATTGGTTCATCTGCATAAAATGTTTCTTTGTTAAATTTGTATTTTATATTTATAAATGGCTCGTAGTTAGGTACGACCGGTATTGATGGATATTCTGAATCGTTTAGCTTTGGATCTACCAATAAATTATAAAAAGATTTTCTCCATTCAGAAAAATACGATTTCGGAAGATATTTGACGAGATTTTTTGAAAAACATTTCATTGAATATCGCAAGAATTGTTCGATAATATTGAATTCATATGCAAGTTTTACAATTTGTTGACAAAAATCGCATTCTAGAGAGTAAAAGTGTCCAAAATCAGGGCTTTCTGTTGACAATGCCATATTTAGTGCACTGCTTGTATTACCACTGTTTATTTCGGCTTTTATCCCATTAACATACTCTAAGACTTGCGAATTATTCATTGACAGAAAAAAAAATCATTCAGAACAAAATAAGCAAAATCGATTCCTTATACAATATGCATTCTAATTAATAAAAAATATAGCTAATCTCCAAAGGTATGCGCACTTTTTCTTGGGAAAAAAGGAAAACGAGCGACTGTTTTTATAAAATTTTTATTAATTATTACGTATTTCAATTCAAATTTGTTTAGATTTTGTGAGGGATTCGGCAATAATTTTAAACAATAATATTTTGATTAAACGAGAATGAGCAATTTGAGTTCCTCTAGTAAGTCCAAAGGGAATTCAAAGGAAGTCTCATCTCAGATAGTCAAAATGGGTGTTAAAAACAATAAGCGAGATCAAGAAAACCAACTATTAGTTTCGAAATTTAATTCGTTAAGTCAGTATAATCAAGAAATTGGGCATGATTTAGCTAATTTGGGAGTCGTACTTGATCGTAAGCTTGCTGATAAAGAAGTTAAAAAGCAAAAATCTAAGAAAACATCAAAACAAAGACAAAAATTAGAAACAAAAGTACATCAGAACATAATCAAACTAACGTCACAGAAAGATTTTATATTTGCATGTAATCAAATACAAGAATCTCGTGAAAATAGGCGAAATCTTCTTCGTTTAGCCAATACAATTTCAAAAGATAACGGAGAACCTAAAACTTTGGAAGAATCAAAGCAATATATAACAGATACTATTCAATCCTCGCAAAATGAAATCAATGAAATCCAAAAACATATCGAAGTTATTAATTCAACTACAAAAGATAACCCTGTTGATGAGAAAAAGGGAAATTTGGAAAAGCTCATTATCACCATTGAAGCAGATAATAACCAAATGCGTCAGAAAATCAAAAACAACCATCCTTTAAACAATTCATTAAAACAATCTTTAGGAAAGAATACAAATATTATTAGTTCAGCAGATGAATCAGAAAGTTATGCAAGTGGATTTGCGGATGATGAGGATGAATCATATTACTCTAATAAATCTAGAAAACATTCTTCGAAATCAAAAGAAATCACTGAAGATAATAAGTCAGAAAAAGATGTAACAAACGAAAATCAAGAAGCAGAAGATTCAAAACCTAAAAATGATGAAAAAATCGAATCAGATTTTATCGAAGAAAATGAAGCGTCCGATAAAAGTGAAAAATCGAAAAAATCTAATAAATCTAAGAAGAAATCAGACGATTCATCCTCTTCAGATTCTTCATCATCGTCAAAATCTTCCAAATCTAAATCTTCTAAGAGTAAGAAAGATTCAGAAGCTAATAAAGAAGAACAAGAAAAGGTTTCTGATGCACATATTGCTGCAGAAAAAGAAGCTAAAGAAATTCAAGAAAATAATTCCGAAAAAGAAAGATCTCAAAACGATGAAAAGGTTGAATCAACTAAAGACAATGAAAGTTCAAAGTCGGATTCAAAGAAAGAAGACAGTGAAAAAATAATAATCGAAGATTCTGAAGTGATTCAAGCAGATAGCGACAAAAAGAAGGATAAATCTAAATCTTCTAGTGATTCTGATGATAAAAAGGCTGAAAAATCACAATCAGACTCAAAATCAAAAAGTAAATCAAGCTCAAGTTCGAGTTCAAGCTCTTCTTCTTCGTCGAGTTCATATATTTATGAATACTATTCCACATCTGATGAATACTACAGCGATGGAAAGCATATACAAAAGTTGGCGGAAAATGCAGTTGCAATTGCAACTAAAAATGCAGAATTCATGGCAATAAAGAGAGAAGGAAAGGTAGAAAAAAGGACCCAAACTAGTGAAAAGAAGTTATTACCAATAGTAGAACCAGAAAATCCAGAAATGTCAAATGCAGACAAAGAAAAGATTTCGGATCTTGATAAGAGCTTGAAAGAGAAAGCAATCAAACTCGAACAGCTGAAGAAAGACAATGAGCTTGCCAAACAACACTTCTTCAGCAGTTTCCATGAGTTTGGAGCTTCATCAGCTCCTTCACCAGATGCAATTGTTGATTTGAGATTGAAGAAATATAACCAGAGCCAAACCGGCGCTCAAACAGAAATTACAAAAGGCCAATACGAGTTCCACGAAGAGTTCCTCAGAAAGCAAAAAGAAGAGATTGCAAAGGCCGCTCAAATACAACAGGAGTATGATCAACAAAAGAACAGAGTCACAAAGACACAAGAATTGCTTGCAAAGGCATCATTGAGAGGCTCACATCTCGATACGGAAATTGCCAAATCTAAGAACAAACTCAAACTGTTTGATGCAAACCTTGAAATGGACAGACAATCTCAAGAATCTGTTGAGAAATATACACAAAAACTCCATCACAAAGCGAAGAAGTTAAAAGCCAAACTGAAAAATCGTCAATCAATGTTTACGCAAATTCAGAACAAAATTTCAGCATTGGAACAGAAGATCGAAGACTTAGTTGCTGCAAGAGCTGTTCTAGAAAGAGACTTGAAAGACACAGAATCTAAAAACAAGCCAGAAGTTGTTCATCTATCAGAACAAGTAACTCATTATTCAAAGAAACTTGAAAGTGCTGAAAACAAAATGACAACAACAAGAAATGATGTGAATAAGCTAAAACAGGAAATTGAAGAATTAGATAATTCAGAGATGGCTAAGAAGATACAAGAGCTAAAGATGAAGAAATTTGATTTAGAAAGAAGGTCAATGAAATGGAATATTATGATGAAAAATACAACAACTACGATGCAAGTTGTTGAAGCTTTTTCAATCAGAAGCGGAAAACAAAGATCGCAGTTGGTTAGTTCTTATGATAAAAATGAAAGGAAAAGACAACAGGCTGATGTTACTGCGTCTAGACTTGAATGGTACTCTAATTTGTTGAGTGCTTTAATAACTGAGCATAATACAAACTGGAGAAAGTAATTTTAGAGTGTTTTTCTTTTAATATAATTGTTGTTTATGTATATTATATATTTTTTAAAAAATTGTTTATTAGTATGAATTATCGTTATTAGTTTGATCCTCTAAGTATTGTTTGGAGCTTTATTTCTTCTCAAATCCCTTGTGCATTCGAAACATACTATATTGATTGGATTGAAATAGTGGATTCTCTTACCCTTCATCAAACTAATCGAGAGTAGCATTGATTAGAATTTCTTGCCATGAAATATGTTTCAAAAGAGTTTCTATAATTACAAAGTCAATATGAAAGACAATTTGCATAGTGAAAAGTGTCCTTTTCTTAGTTTGTATTCATAGGATTATAGATATCACTTCTGTTCTAGTACCTTTCTCATTGATTAGAAGCATTTAATATATAAACTTATATTTTTCATATATAACTCATGATAAAAGATCGAAACAACCTTGTGTTAATGCCTATATATTTTATATATCCCAAGAAACTTACATAATCATCATTAAATTTGCCAACAATAAATATTCTGGATAAAATATTCATCGAAAGAAAAAGATCTTTACTCATAGATATGACAATATGGATGTATATGAATGCATACAGCAAATATGGGCAATTCTTTCAAATTTATTCTGAGACAAAATAAGGATAGATGTTTTTTTGAAACCGAATCGGAAAATAAGAAAAGCTATGTGAGTTTGATCTAGATATTAAAAAATTAATGATTCGATAAATGAAACAACAAAAAATTCAATGGAAGGATAATTGAATGGTTTAAGATCACTTCCGGAAATAAAATATTTCATATAAAGATTATATTTAATTGTTGACATAAAATAATTTAATGCCAATAATTGAAATAAAATTTTCTCAATCAAAATTTGAATTGGAATTCCCCCTATTTAACGTTCATTTTATGAGCGCAGGTGGTCAAGAAACAAAGGAAACCACTTCAGACTCTGTAATGTCCGCGGAGGATAAGAGTGAAAATAGCCAACCAGAAAATCACACTTTTGATATTCATCCTCGTCGCCCATCAATTTTATTAGAAAGTGATCTCCCCGAATACAAAACATATAGCTGTATTAAGAGCAAACCATCTGTATTTGGCGGGAACTGCATCCATTTCCAATTAAGTCTTGATGATCAAAACTTATTCCATTCCAAAGTTAAAAAGATGACTCAAATAGAGCCAATTCCAGTTGCACATGGAACTGAAGTGCACTACAGAGGTGAAAAAGAGTACCTTTTATTGACCAATGCTAATCACGAAGCATTTTCATTACGTGAAAAGACTCCAACAGGCACTGAACTCCTCGTCATCTCCATGTACCAGATTGTTTCGGTTGATGAACCGAAAACAGTCCGTGTCGTTTACAAGAACCAAGGCAGTGAAGGTGCAACATGTCTTGTGAGTCGAAAACCAACACAAAATCCAGATGGCACATGGATCCTTGATTTTAGCGAGAGATATACCATTCCTAGTAAGCGAAATGCCATTTTGGTTGATGAACAAACAAAAGAAGAAGTATTAGTCATCAGAAAAGTCGAAGAAAATGAAATAGAAATAGATGCGATTGCTACTGTTCCTCCTCTCTATGTATTTGGTACGGCGCTTTCATTCTGGCTTGCTTCAATTTGATTTAATTTTGACTCTCTATTTTTTTCAAATAAATGTTATTCTCTCTTTCATGTTTCATACATAAAACCGCACATGAATCTTACGTGTTGTTACGAAAATCAATTTAGTACTAATTTTTTGAAAATTGCCATTGAAAATTGAATTTGTAGATCATTAAATAACGATATCTTTAAGATAACATTAGTGTGGTTGTGCAAAAGACATATTATATAATAGTAAATAAGGATAAATAACAAAAATTTAAATACATAACAATAAATAAACAAAAGGATAGCAAATAAACTAATGGAAATGGTTAAAATTAAAGAGGTAGGTCAAGCTCCAGCCTATGAGATTGATCTTCAATATGAGATAAAATTGCATTTGCATTGGATTCAAGTTCTTCTGAATAGAAGTTAATTCCTTTAACTACAACGTAAGCGCTTTCTGTATTCTTAACTGTGTTGCTTAATATATTATCAGCCTTAAATTGAAGATAAGTGATTTTATCCTCCAACGCTTGAACAACGTCATCGAATTCAGTGAGTTTCGCTTGCTGCTCCATTAGCTGCATCTTAAGTTCTTCTGCCCTAGCCGTTAAGCGCTGTTTGTTGTCTTCAAGATTTAATTTCATGTCTTCTATGTAGTTTTCTGCTGATTGCTTGAATTCTTCGAACTTGCGATAATCTACAAACTGTTTGCCTTCAGCAACTACTTCTGGTTGTTGAATTTCTTCCTTTGGAGCAGATTTTGATTCAATTGAGTACATTTCTAGGAAATTTTTAACAAATGACAGCTTTGTTTTATCCTCTTGTAGCTGCTGGAGGACACTGTTACTATCGTATTTGATTTTCGATGGTTTATACTTGTTTGATTTATCGGTAACAGATTTTGTAAGTTCATCAAGCTGATTCGTTTGTTTAATCAACTCATTGTTTATTGGTCCATTCTCTGGACGTGGTAACTTCAAAACTTTCGGTGGAATTGGCTTAGTTGTTGCAAAAACTGGAGCTTGAAGTTTTAGTTTTGGTTTTTCTTTCTTCTGAAGAGTTTTAAGTTGGTTATCGATAAACATTGATATATTTGTTTCGAGATTCTGTGTTTCTTGTATCAAACGATTTGCAATATCTCTTGAAAAGTCATTTATGAAAGTTGTTGACTGCTCTGGAGCTTCCGATTCTGTACAGTCCTTATCCACAAGCTTTTGTGTGTATGAATACATGTCCTCAAGTTTTTCGAAAGTTCTTTCGATTAATTTTGGATCATAATCTTTAACACGAGTAGAAAGAGTATCTGTTTGTGCCATTAAACTATCTACTGTTTTAGTTAAGTCACCAGGAATCTTTGAGAGCAAAGTATTTCCTGTTTCTTCTAAATTTAAAACAGCTTTTTTCATTTTAATGATATCTTGCTGTGCACATTGGAGTGCTGTATCGCTTTGGCGTCGCGTATTAGTGAAGCCTGGGAGAGTTTTCGGTGGAGAATAAACATATTGCTGCCGAAGCATTTTTGTACGTTTTTTTGGATAAAAAGTGTCAAATGATGAAATCAAAATATTTGATTTCCTATCTAAATGATTGTCCTCCGATTTAAAAATTATATGTATTAGGTCAATTTATTATTAAAAATTTGTTCATGGGTATTAACCTGATTATTTTCAATATATGAACACATATATGGACTTGTAATTGAATATAAGATAAAAGCTGAGCGCTTTATGTGTATTATATCCTATCCACTGATCAAATCGAGTAGTAAACACATTAATTTAGTAAAATCTAAACAGAAGTGATTTAATTCTCTTCTTCATACTTAAGCTTCGTTAGTTTCTATGAATAATATCTATATACAGAGGACTTTAATAATGTAGTTGAGAATAAATCGCATCTATTCATTTTATGGATAATCTCTTCAAATTTCCATAAACAATTTAATATTTACCTGTGATATTTTGGAAAATGTATATAAGTAGATAAAAATATATTGTTGTCTACTTTGATCTTCGGAATTCGATCAAACGTGAATATAATATTTTCTAATTAAAGACATTACAAGGCAAATGAGCTTGGTCATAATCAAACATTCGGGCAAAATGATATTCTTGAGAATTTAGATTCATCAAAATATATATCTGGGTTAAATCATTTTCAATAAATATAAAAATACTATGTTAACATTGTTGGATATTAATCTGCTAATAGTTGGTCAAATTGCACGAATATTCAACGTGGAATATATCCAGATAATGATACACTATAGTATTGTATATTTAAACTGAGTATTACTATTATAGTTCATCTTATCTGAGAATTCGGTATTTTGACAAATTTCAACTTTGACTGGTGAAACTATTTATAATCAAAAAAGCCCACGACATTTTATAGCATATTAGTGATACATTATATTGTTATTAGTAAACTTGATTTTCAATCTCTTCTAGATGAGTTATTTGTTTTTTTGAAAAAATCTGACAAATCACTTTTTGACAGAATCTAAAGATTTTTGATTTGTGAAAGTTTTAATAATATGATAAGGTTTATATATGCTATCATAATATAATAAAATCATATAATATTACATTATTGCTATATATGTCGAATATTATTAATAATATTCATGATTTATCCCATACTGAAATCTGCAAAATCTTGAACTGGAATTGATAATATAGAGTCAAGAGACAACTCATTTAACATGTTCTGAATTTGCTAGCTCCTGATTTTATTCATAGAATGAAATTCATCAGTCATATTGTGCGCGAAGCCAAACTTTCAGATTGTTTGAATCTGTTTTAAATGTGAACTCATTAATTTAATGAACGATAAATAATATATTCGTTCTTTATCTGGAGTGCCACATCTTTGCCTGTGTGTGTTTCATGTTAAAAGAGATTTTTGGCAACTTCGACTTTTTCGTTCTCAATCGCTTTAAATAGGCATCCCTTTCATCAAGTTCTGATATGTGACAGCGTTTTGTTTGTGTTTCAACAACTCGACTACAAAAATTATTGATCCGCATTTTATTGTAACTGGGGATCTGTCCACGGGATAGAGATAACGAAGTTCAAACAACGCAATTTCCAACTGTGAAGAATCTAATGCAACGATATATAAAGGGCAGAAACTGGATTCGTCATGAAGTTGTGGATTGGCACTATTTTCATTCGGATGACACTTAACACACAGCCTGTGATGAATCAGAAGTATGTTGTGAATAAAGCTCTAGTTCTTCTTGTTCTGTATAAAAATGTGTTTATAATGATTTTGTATATATATATATCATATAAACCTTTATGAAATCATTGAGTAAATAATAAGAAAAACATGGAATTTGAATTCATGAGATTATTCCAAAAGAAGAACAATCTCTTATAAATAAATGATATTTAATAAGGCATACAATCCTAAAATTTCTAATTAATATCCATAAATTTTAATTGCTGTTTTCAATGAATTTAACTGCAAGGCAAAATATAATGTCTAAGCTTTCGAGCGTTATATTTTTGCTTGCAATTATATATTCATTGCATTTAACATCAATTAACTGTGCATTTAGACAATTTAATCAAAATTCCAAACCAGAATTTGGTAAAATTTTATTAAATTCGAATGATTTGCCAATTAATACTTCTGCAAACAACTCTGGTACACAAGTTTTAAACAATACTACTTCAAATCAATCGATTAAGGCTTCGAAATCCTTATCTAAAAATATTTCTTCGTTAAACCCGACTAATTTATCTGAAGTAGCCAATAATTCAACTAATGATACTCATCATGAGCAAAATTCGACAAAACTCTCACAAGATTTGAAAAATACTTTAAATCTAACCAATAAACATGAAAATAAACCGAAAGTTAACTCTACAACTTCAAATATGTCATCAGACCTTACTAAAAATCATACAAAACACCAAAAAAATAATATTTCAAAATCGACGGATAATCTAAACATTTCTAATAAACTTAATGAAAATAGCTCGAAGAATGTCACGGCAACGTCTATACTAAATTCCCAAAAAAATCAAACCGAAATATTAAATAATACTACAATTAAAGGTCAAGAAAAGACTTCAAATGCATTAAATTCGACTAGTATAGCTAATAATACCGCTAAAAATCACAATCAGAAGAATTCATCGAAACAGAACGCCACAAATAGCTCACTAACGAAAAATACTACTGATGTAGGCAATAAACAGCCAAACAATACAAATTCAAGATTAAATTCTACAATAAAAACTGCTTCTAAAAATTTAACAAATAATGTTACAAATTCAATTGCTACAAATGCATCCGCTACAACCTCAAATGCTACAAATCAAAAGGCCTCAAAAATATCTCAGAAAAATCAAACAAATATAAAAACAAATAATATAAGCGCAAAAACTAACAATACTACTAATCTTAACACGAATATTACTACTAAAAACGCTACATCTGCATCTAAAAATGCTGAAATTGTCAAAAATCAAACAAAAATAAATAATCACTTAAATATTACATCAAATAAACAAAATATTACACAGCCAGCTAAGAATATAACTAAATCTAGTAATACGACATCACAAAGTCCCAAAAAAGAAAAGAAAGATCCGAAGAAAGGAAAAGTCGAAATAGTTGAAGAAGAAGTAGAATTAGATGTTACAGATGACATACCAGATATCGATGATCTCAATTTAGCTCTTACAGACTTCTCACAATTTAATGAATCTTCTAAATCTTCTAATGAAGACAATTCTGAGTATTCTGTGATCAAACCATTATATAAGAAGGCAAGGAAGCATAGCGCAAAGCATAGAAAGCATTATCATATCCTCGAAGATACCCTCTCTATAACAGAAACCCCTGAAGAACCGGATAAAGATGATATTAAAATTCTCAAAAAAGTTTACAATAACCGTTTTGTAAACTCTCAATTATATGGCAAAGTTTTTTCACTCGCAAAATCATCAGGAGGAACGAAGAAATGGCATAAAGGCAAACAAAAAGTAAATGAAAATGAAATTATCAGTAAAAAGTCCGAAATCGTAAAAACAAACAGAACAAAAACAGCTTCTCCAAGGCAAACAACACCACCCCAATCTCCTGCACCAACAGTTGTAATTGTCCTGCCAACTAGAACTCCTTCTTTCGAAAGACCTTATCCAACAACAATTCCATTTATAACTGTTTTTGTTTCTGTAACAATTTTCATTTACGCTTTGATGACAAAGAGAAGAACATCAAGGCAGTCGAGTAGAAGAATGTTAGGGAACACAAACCACGCAAATGATGACCAGGATGATGAAAATATGTCGATGCTTCCTCAGAAACTTGAAGAGATTTCCCTTAACCCATAATATATCTTTTTGTATTGTTATTTATATATATTGTTCTTATTCAGATGTTCCTGATTTGAATAAATTATGTTTATTATTTGAGTATTTCATTATTATATATTTGGATATTTGCGAATTTTGAATAAAATCGCTATATTTAGCATGTTTTGAATCATCATAAACGAGTTATTTTCATTATAACAGACCATTATGGATGTTTACTGAGTAAGTAGGGAGAAAAAGATAATGGATTTAGTTTTTAAAGCGTATTTAGAAACCATCAATGGGTAACTCACTATAAATATTTATAATATTGATAAAAAGGATCATTTGAATGCTATACTAGGGCTAATAACAATATTCTGAAATCAAAACCTAATTAAATCTTGTTTTGAAATTAAAATGTGTAATAACATCATTTATTTATCAATATCCATTATTTAAATTGTGTCAATTATGGCTATGAGCTTGAAGAAAATCGATTTATAGTTCAAAAATTCCAAATTTTTTTCAAAAACGAAATTTTCATTATCAATATTGTTAGAATTACCTTCGTTTCTGAGATTTTGAAAAAAATTTGGAAAACGAAGACCGTCAAAGATCCCAGTTTTAGACTGGTTTGAGTAGGATTCAACAACTTTCTTGACAAAATAACAGATTTACTATTCATTGATTCACGAAATGACCTTAAATTCATTTTCTGCTCCAGCAAAAATTTTGCTAAACAAGTTAATTCGATTTATACTATAAACAACAAGTTATTGAATGATTTTTACACGATTTCATTTCATAATAAGCAGACGCATAAAAAAGGATTATGTTTGTACCAACTTCATAATTTTACAGCACATGCATTCAGTTTTGATCCAGGTTTCCAAGATTAAAAAATTCAATCGATTTTTACCCCTGTTCAAATAGTTTTCAGCACTCTTAAAATGCATTGTTCCACACACTTTCGAATTAATTTAGCCGAAAATTACTTTCGTGAGGTATTTTAACCAGAACGATGATATATTCGATTTACTTTTCAAACTATAAGAGTTTATAACATTAACAGTAATCGACTATTACTTAATTAACTGTTTTAAGAGAGTCACTATAGTACATTTTAATGATTTTCGATGTTTCGAATAAATCGGGTTAATTTTTGTAGAAAAGTAAAAAACTAATGAATGAAATTAGCTTCCAATCAACATTTATCTATACTATCGGTGTTTGCATTGCCATTGCGATTATATTCAGATTTGATAAAACGATATCATTACGAAATAAACGTTTTATGCAAGAGCATTATCTTGGCAAATATTAATATTATCATGATTTTTAATACTTACCATCCTTTTTTTGTGATTTTCTTAGATCATATTTGAAAATTTTATTATTTATCAAAAATTTCAACCATAATCATCGCAATGGCATATCAAATCATTTGCTAAACAATCGACACATTCAAAAAGTTACAGGGTACTCTCATAATAAACTCCAATTTTATTTTCTATTTAGGCAGGCCAAAATTTTAACCAAACAACGAGACGCAAGCAGTAATAGTATATTTATTGGACAAAATAAATGTTTGGTCAATTACCTGATCGTTTTTTTGGTTTTCAATTTTTCAAACCTTTTTATGAAATTTATTTTGGGCGAAATCACGGAAATCGAGCCATTTGCCGTAAATATACTATTAGATTTCGCAGTGAAGTGATGAGATATCCATTTTTGAAGGAAGATAACGATATTTAAAAGAATTATTGAGACACTTATCAATTTTTTGAGAGATGTATCGTCTTGACTGACAATTCGGTAGTTATAAGGTCCTCTCTTCATTTTTGATTAAAGATGCTTACATCTTCAGTCTCTCTTCCAGCACGTGAACTCTCCCGCAAGGTTCTCCCAACCCTCAAGACAGGAATGACCTTACTTCAGGATGGAGATCTCAACAAAGGTACAGCTTTCACAAAAGAAGAACGTGACCGCTTCAATCTTCGTGGCCTCCTCCCATACAAAGTCTTCACAAAGGATGAACAAGCTGCTCGTATCCGCCGCCAGTTCGAGTTGATGCCAACACCACTCCTCAAGTACATCTTCCTCGCCAACGAGCGTGAGAAGAACTCACAGTCCTTCTGGAGATTCCTCTTCACACACCCACCAGAGGAAACAATGCCAATTCTTTACACACCAACTGTCGGTGAAGCTTGCCAGAAGTGGGCTACACACCGTCAATCATACCGCGGCATCTACATCACACCAGAAGATTCTGGCAAGATCAAGGACATCCTCCGCAACTACCCACGCCAGGACATCCGCTGCATTGTCGTTACAGATGCTGGCCGTATTCTCGGTCTCGGCGATCTCGGTGCTTCCGGCCTTGGTATTCCAGTTGGTAAGCTTATGCTTTACACACTTATCGGCCAAGTTGACCCAGATCAGACACTTCCAGTCCAGTTAGATATGGGTACAGACAGAAAGGAAATCCTCGCCGACCCACTCTACCACGGCTGGCGCCATCCACGTGTACGTGGCGCTGAGCACCTCAAGTTCGTCACAGAATTCGTTGAGGCAGTCAAGGAAGTCTTCGGTGACACATGCCTTGTCCAGTTCGAAGATTTCGAAATGGAAACTGCTTTCAAGCTTCTCGACCACTTCAGATGGCGCTGCAACTGCTTCAACGATGATATCGAAGGTACAGCTGCCGTTGCTGCTGCTACACTTGCTTCAGCTACACACATGGAAGGTGTTCCAGATCTCAAGAACCAGAAGATCATCTTCATCGGCGCTGGCTCTGCTGCCACAGGCATTGCTAACCTCATTGTCGATATGACAGTTTCCCGCGGTGGCATCACCAAGGAGCAGGCCTTCAAGAACATCATCATGTTCGATCACCGTGGCATGGTCCATGCTGGCCGTAAGGATCTCTACGACTTCAACAAGCCATACATGCACGACATGGAAGTCTACGGCTCAGTTCTCGAGGCCGTCAAGAAGTTCAAGGCTACATGCGTCATTGGTGTTTCCGGTGTTCCAGGACTCATCACAAAGGAAATCGTCCAGGCAACATTAAAGAATGCTGAGCACCCAGTCATCATGCCACTTTCCAACCCAACACCAAAGGCTGAAGCTACGCCACACGATGTTTACCTTTGGTCCAATGGCAAGGCCCTCTGCGCTACAGGCTCACCATTCCCAGCCGAACAAGTCAACGGCAGAAAGGTCATCACTGCCCAAGCTAACAACTCCTGGATCTTCCCAGCTGTTGGTTACGCTCTTGTTACAACAAAGGCTCGCCACTGCCCAGCTAAGGTCTTCGAAATCGCCGCTGAATCTCTTGCTTCCCTCGTCAAGAAGGAGGATCACGATCAGGGCAATCTTCTCCCACCACTCAACAAGATCCGTGACTACTCATTCGGCATCGCTTACGATGTTTCCAAGTACCTCATCGACAACGAGCTCGCAACAGCTGTTCCACCAAAGGGTACATCTCTCAAGGACTGGCTCAAGGCTCAGCTCTTCGAACCATCAGCTGACTACGAACCACTTTACTAAGCGCGATTTTTAAACACTTCGCTTTCTTAATTTAAATTAAAAGCTTTTTCTTTTATCCTTTTCACCTGACATCTTGACAAGTCAGATTTGGGTTTAATTTTTCTGATTTCACTTCCATATATGAATGATAAAAAAGTGACAATGGATTCTTCTTCAACTTCCTCAGTTCCAAGCCAGAATGTTACGACAATTCAAGTGGACTCACAACCAATAGATTACAGTACAGTTACATATCTTCAAACAGTGAAAGAAGCATCAAAAATCCAAACAAGATTAAATTTTCTCGAAACAGCTTTAACAGAAATGCTCGCTCATGAGTCACAATTATATATCAAACTTGAAGAAACAGATGGTAAGCTGCGTTGGAGAGCTGAATGCGAGGAAAGAGTTAATCCTGTTGATCTTAAGTTTTTCCTTACGACACAGCAGGACGAATTCTTTGCACCTGAAGTCGTTGGACAGGTGGAACCAATAATACGCGAATTACAAAGAATTAAAAACGACATTTTATTGCTTGAAAATGAACAAAACACTTTAAGAGAAAAATTACGAAAAATATTACCTAATCTTAAGCCTCCGACTAAATCTGATAAGAAAGGTGGCAATAGATCAACTCCTAAGAAATAATATCGATGATTACGTTTACAGTTTGTTTCGTGTATATTTAGTGTATTTTCTTTGCTTGTTAGCTCTATAAACATATATATTTATGATTATTGTTTTACAACTTCTGAAATTTTGCTATGAAAGTATCTTTCTTCATGTTTTTGCAAATTTTAGCTTATTTTGAAACATGAGACTACATTCGATATCATTTAGTAGACAATAAATGTGTTTTTCTGAATGTCTGTTTGACAAATATAAGTAATCATTTGCAAATTTTTTGACATTGCACATTTTTGTTATGTTGGAGGATTCCCGATATAAGTTTCCTCAAATTTTCATTCACTCAACTGTTCTCTTAAATATCACGAATAATGCATTAAACATCTTTTACAATGGTGTTTGTACTCTCCGAGATCAGATAAATTTAATGTTATTACATAGTGTGAATAAAGTTAGGAGAAAAAGGGGCAATCACTGACACAATAAGAAGTTTACATCGTATTAATGTAAAGTTATATTTTGGCAAAACGTCAAATTATATCTCAATTTTCAGAATTATTAAATTGACTCAGAGATTTACTATGGTTATCAATATATTAAAAAAATATGTAAAAAAATAAATTAAGTTTATGATTTACTAATTAGACGTTTGCACCGCCAGAGCCGCTCTCTTGAGACTTCTTTTTGTTGTGAATATAAAAAACTGCAAAACAAATTCCGGCGATGAGAGCAATTCCGACTATTACGCCAATAACTATACCTGCAATGGCACCTCCTCCAAGTCCAGGTTTACCTTCAACTAAACCATCAGTTGTGTTTGTTGTTGGTTGAGGAGGTTTAACATCTTGTTTTGATGAAGATGGTGCAATATAGGTGATTGATTTTTGTGATACGAATGTACCATTTTCTCCATCATTTGTAACGATTTTCGCTGTAAAACTGAATTTTTCATCACTGTTATAATTGTTTTTAATTTGTACAACTAATGGTTCTGAAAAGTGGGAATCAGCTAAACTTCTTCTACTTGTTTGTAGGTTATGCGCAGTTCCATCAAGCTTATAATATGTGACTTCCAATTTGTCAGGGATTTTTTCAAGAGATGCAGTGAATTCATCAGAAAATGAACACATTATTAAACTTACTGTTGAATATTTTGATGGCATATAAATTTCTGGATTTCCATTAATAGTGTTAGATATTCTAATTTCAGCATTTCCTTTCAGTATGTATTGCTTCTCAATTGGGAAGGAGGATTGATAAATCAAAGCATTAATTTTTCCTTCTCCTGTTATTGTTAACTCTCTCTCACCAGCATAAATATTAAGTTTTTCATTATTTCCAATTACAAGATTCTTACTTTGTTCATCTGGGAATAGTGCTAATTTCATTCCGGAAACAATCGTGTATTGACCTGCACTGAGTTGATTCTTTCCGTTCTTAAGCATTGCAAAGGATGAGATAATTTTACCTTTAAATGAAATTATTTCAGTCTTTCTGTCTTTGTTTGATTTAACATAGAAGTATTTCTTTGAACTAGAACCATAACCTTTGGAGTATTTGAATAAAAATGGTTTTGTAGAAGTTATTTCATTTCTATAAGTCTGAAAAGACAATGAATTTCCTTCTATTATCGCATAGTCAAAATTATCGTTAGTTCCAATTGTGAACTCATTACCATTGGTGAACAAAACGTAGTAAATAGCAGAATTATAAATCATTTGACTTCTGTCATATGTGAAATACCCATTAAATGAATTAATAACAACATCAAAAGATTGTGCATCACTTGGAATTGAACAGTAGTACACCTTTGATGGCCTTGTTACTTTCGTGAATTCATAAGCGGTACATGATATATAATCTCCATTATCACTATTATACATGATTAGAACTGTATCTGAAGATGTTTTGAGTACATCTCCATCGTTGTAATTTTGACCCTGATCAGGTGTTATTGATTTTGTGACTATTCCATATGAAATCTTTTTATCAGCTGGAATGTCAAACGTAATAATATATAAATTATAATCTACAGAAATCGTAGATAAGGCAGATATTTCTGACTTTGTGTATGGGTCTATCTGTTTTGCATACTCATATCCTGCAATTGTAACATCTTGTTGTAAATTCACTCTAACAAAGTATTTTTCACTAACAGCCGATTCTCCATCTGAATAAAAAACAATATTTTCATCCTTATTCAGAGTCCTCAATTCTATATCATTGTTTGGATAAAAGAAGATGGTTACTAATGCCGAAGGAAAATCTTTATCAAAAAGAACTAGATCTTGATCGCTGGAAATAAGTCCTGATTTTCCATTATCGGGTTCCATTAAAATGCGATCATTTGCCTTAACTGGTATTTGCAAATTATAATATGGCATTGTTGTATATTTTCCATAGCCTAAAGTGACTTTAGAGTCTTGAATAGTTATACCTACTTCTTTAGTTTTTGCTTTATCATTCTCAAAATTAGTAATACTTACCGCACCATGATATTCATTTCCATCTAATGAATCAGTACTTGTTACTTTTGTAATATAGCCAAATCCCATGAAATTGAAATTGTGGTTATTGATTATAAAGCAATGTCCTTCAGCAATATCATTGTTATTTTTGTTTTTGGTGACTTTTCCATCGACATAGAATTCATTCTCATTATGAGGATTCATGTGAATGTTTGTTCTGACTTTGATTGATGATAAGTAAATTATATCCATATTTTCAGTCACTTCATCTAAATAATAATGCTTGTCATATTCGTTTAATAATATCGCATATTTATGATTGCTGGTAAGCCTTATGAAGAACATTTTAACTTTGAGATTAGAACTAGATTTTGCTTTGATTGAAATCGGATTTTGTGATGATGAGCTAACTATTGGTTGATATAGTGCTAAATCATTTCCACTCTCATCAGTGAAATCTTGATAATTTGATATAATTACATAAATTTCATTTGAATTATCTACTTGGTTATATATTTTGCATGGATTTGTAGCTGAAATTGTAATTTGAGAGAAACCTAAAGCTGGAAAGATACATTTATCCCAAGTAGGGTCAGGTATTGGCTGTGTTGTTAATGATTGATCATATGCACTAACTCTGTCAACTTGAGTTGGAAGAGTATCATCAAAGTTTGCTAAAGGAATGATAATCTTTTTTGTGACAGTGAACAATTTATTTGCTTCAACTAAAGTACCTTCAACTGTTGTTGGTACAGAACATCCACAAATAACAATCCATTTTGAGCTTCCAACGGAAGAATCAACAATAAATTCTCTACCAATATAATCGGAATAATACTCAACAATGCTATATTCATCAGGGACATTATAAATATAGAAAGAATAAGTATTTGTTTCCGAACTACTACTTGCAATTAACAAACCATCTTGGCCAATTGGCATGATCTTTTTAACTTGTTGTGCATTACTTGTAGTTAAATCTTTAGGATCACTACTTACCCAAAAGACTTTTTTACCACTTGGTGGTTCAAATCGATTCTCGGAATAGACCTTTAAGACTTGGCTTGCTTTTAATTGAAAATTCTTGATACTCAAATCTGCTCCGAAGAATGACAGTTCATTTGAGATCGGGGTAGCAGTTTGAAAAGATCCTTTACCATCTGGTTTAATTGTAAATTGTTCCTTTGGGTTTATTTCTGCATTATAATTGCGTCTTACTTTAATATTATTATTTCTACTTTCACTTGTTTCATATGTAATCTTACAGCCATAAACATCCTTCATGACTTCATTGGTTCCAATACATATATGTGTCGGAGAAAGAACAATAATTAAATCGGAATCTGTTTGTAATGATTATAATCACCTGGTTGAAGATCTGAGATAATGCAATAACCTGGATGTTCCAGAAGATTTACTGGAATAAATGCAATTTCAAAATTTCCTTGACCTGTGAAAGATAATTTTTGACCACTTGAAACTGCGTACATAAAGTTTGAATCAGTCTCGCCAGTCTTTTGAATATTACCCAATAAACTATAAAATACACCACTTTGGGTAGTGTCTTTTGGTGTTAAAGTAAACTCATCAGTAGTCTCGCATGTAATTTTTTGGATTTTGTACGTTGGAAGAGTGAATTCTTGAATGAAGATACCAAATAAGGCCAACATTGAAAAAAAATGCGTTTTTTTAAGAAAAGTCAAAAATTTTAAATTTATGAAAATGGTAGTTTTATTAAGATAGAAATAAATTATAATAAAAAAATTTTAGAGAATTGAGTTTGGTTCAATTTTCTGAATAGATTTAAGTGATGTTATTATTTTTTTTATCATAAGTCAGAAACATCTTCATTTTTATTTTATTATGAAAAGGATCTAAAAAACTTTGACTTAAAATTATTTGTAAACCTATCAATCGATGGCAATTTTAATTTGGAAAGTTGAAATCGGAAAAAGAGTCTGATTGAAATACTGAATGAAAGAATAGAATTTTATGTTTACAACTATTTAATTTTCTAACGTTCTCTCAAAATTGAGGAAAGACTTTTTTTGATTCAAATGCTAATTTACACTCGGAATAAAAATAATCAGTGCTTATTATATTACAACTTTTCAACATTTTTACAGGCTTAATGCAAAATTGCTAATTTTATTAAAATCACGATATATATATCGAATGAACTATATAATCCATAAATATTCCTTGAAAAAAAATTCTGAGGATGAAATTTCAAAGTAATCAAATTTCGAAATTGAAGTTTAATTTAGAATTAACACTATCAACTTTCATTTCATATTTGATAAAGCATCTGAAATATTTATTTTATTCAAAACATATAATTATTCGAATTCTGTTTCAAAGAGTTTTCACATGAAATTTTTACAAAATAATTTCTTAAGAAACGATTGTAAACAGAATAGGAAGTCGCAAAATTCTGAGTCGGAGAGAGATTATATCAATCTCCATTACGTATTGTAGATATATGATCCATTGCCCAACCCCTTGGAAAACAATGTTTTACATTTCATAAAATTTTTCAAAAAAAAAAATCGTTTGGAAATATTCAAATTTCAGAACTTCTAACTTTCATGAAAATTAGAATTTGGAAACGATGAAAGAAATTGTTTCCAATTTAGATGGAACTTGCCGTCCTAAAAGTGAACAATTTTTCAAATTCTTCCATATCAAGAAGATATTTTGCTATCATTCTTAAAAATATTATAAACTTGATTACGTCTGGACAAATATGCCACAATTCCTTATGTCTAAATGAATTGTATCATATTTTCAGATCTACAATGTAAAACTCTCATATACTACAGCTCCAAGCCTCAAGTGGCTAATCATACCCTTCCATCAAGCATGTCATCTTCGATTAAATAGATGTATTTGAAGTTCTACGCCAGAAAAATTGATATTCATTTATCAAGCGCAAGTAAAAAGGAAAAAGTGACAAAAATTGAATGACTGAAGAAGAAATTAGATTAAATCCACAAAGAGTTAAATCAGTAGCAAAAGCAGGCATTGGAGACACAGATGTAAGATTGTGCCAAGGAAGTATTGAATTTCTCACAGAAATGACAACAGAATTTATCGAACTAATGGCTTTAGCAGCAATTGATAATTCTGAGCGTCCAAAACAGTATATCGATTCTACTGGAGTTGTTAAAGCATTACGAAAACTCGGCTTTGATTCAATTGTCGATGAATTGCCTGATCTTTCAGAATATGCCGAAGATATGCAAAAGACAACTAAAATGTTTTAACGATCTATATCGATGTTGATCAAGCATTTGGATTTTTTCCATCGAAATATCAGAATCAACTAATCATAGTTTATAAATATTGCCATTATCAGACACTTACCACCAACAATCGATGCTTTATAGCAAAAATTTAATCAAAATTTATATATCCGATATTCAGAGATTTTGTTAGGAAATCTTCTATGTTTTATCAGATAATTTGCAACACCACAATTTTTATTCATCTATTACTTCAATTTTGTATTGATTACTGTAAAAAAATGATTTTTATTTCTTGAATTTTCAAGGCCTTAAGCTTCAACATTAAATCAACCACTAGTTTTTCAATTTAGTTTATATTTTTCCCTAATTCTCTAAATAATTCCATGAAATATGTTCTATATTTCTTGAAAATTAGCGAAAAACGGAATAGTTTGAAGGGCTATGCCCATAAACTCATTATCATAATTTTCATTTTGAATAATATAATTATTATTGCTTTAGACAAGGTTATAATAAGAAAAACCTAATCCTAGAGAAGTATCTTATGTGTATATTATCAGTTATTCAATATATTTAAATAGCTTATACTTCCAAGTTTTGTGTACACTTCCAGTTTACAACTTCTCCTACTAAATCAAAAATTATTCCATGTTTTTTTTTATTTATGAGGTTTTTAAGATGTGAAAAAGGTCATAACTAGTAACATAGTGTTTCCAAGCTTTTTGTTCTAGGATGAAATATAATTTAAATCAATATAATTAAGGGTGCACACGAGAGGATCATGTAAACTTCAGAATTTAGAACCTTATTTTTAGGCATTATCTTGGCTACCTATTTAGGCTCGAAAAGCAAAAAATATCAAAAAATACAACTTGACTCCATTATGACCCTTTCATGGAGGTAGTTTTTATCCGCTAGTATTTTCCCTTTGAATCTCTTTACAATTCGAAATCAAATTCAAATCTCAGTAGAAGAAAGGAAGAATCGACTTACTACGGTTGTAATACGAATAAATACATATATTTAATTATTTTTATTTACATAATAATTGTTTGAAGCTCATATTCCATCAAATTTTTAAATAAAAACATTAAAATGTTGAAAATGTTCATATATTTTAATAGGGTTTTGGCACTTTATTGAGGAATTACTACATACATAGTCGAACTGAACTTGATATTTTGAAATTTAAATTATTTATCAAAATTAAAATTTAACTTGAAATTTATAATTATTTAGTCATATTTTGCATAATTCTAAGTAGATTTTGTAAAAAATCAAGAAAGAAAAATTTTAACGTGCTTTATTTTTTCTTTTTTATAATAAAAAAAAAAAAAAAAAAAAAGGTAGTGGGGCCTCCAGGCGCGTTGCGCCCTCTAGCCCTGAAGTTTTTTTTTTCTTGGGATGGGCCTCCAGGCACTTCGTGCCCTCTAGCCCATAAAAAATTTTTGAGAGTCGTCGCCGTTGACTTTTTTTGTAGAGCACTCAAAATAGTATAACTTTGTCCGGACAAGTAAGGGTCTATCGTCGCTACAGGAAAAGTTACGGGCGTTCCAAGGAAGTATACTTTGAGAAGACTTTTCTGTCACTTTTCAGGAAAAAAACATTTTTTATTATTATAAAAATGAATTTTACAAAACCACCGTTACCGTTCTTTGGAAATAAGAGTAAATGTAAAGATATTCTATTGAGAGAACTTAAGAAACTACCGAATGGTCTAACATTTGTAGATTTGTTCGGTGGAAGTTTCTATATATCCCATTTGTGCCATACAATATTCCCAGACTCAAAGATTATATGCAATGACTTCGACAACTATATGGACCGTCTCAAACATATACCAGACACAAACAATATATTGAAAGCGTTAAAAGAAAAGATACCTATAGGTAAGATGGAACGTATACCATTAGATAAGAAAAATATTGTGAGAGAGGTTTTGAAAAAAGCAGAATATATAGACTGGGATAGTATATCTGCTAGACTATTATATAGTGGTTCTATAAGAGTTCATGACATTGAAACACTTATGTCAAAAGTTTTATATCTTAACTATACAAATGTTTTCAAAGAGGACATAGAAAAATATATTGAGGGTATAGAGTTTGTGAGATGTCGTTGGACAGAGTTGTATGAAAAATATAAAGACAAGGAAAATGTTTTCTTATAGTGGACCCGCCGTTCTATAACACATGGGATTTTCAATACCAAGTAGACTGGACTTTGAGAGACTCTTTAGAAACTTTAGACGTTTTACATAACTATCCATGCTTTTACTTTACATCCGATAAAAGTGGTTTGGAAACCGTTATGAGATGGTTAGAGGACATACATGACTATGAGTTTAGATATGACAAGATAGAATATGAGAGAGGTCCTATAAACCGGAAGAAAGTGTCATAACAAAGAAATTTTATTAGTAAGTAAATGTGGTTTGAAATAGGACTACTTGTTTTAGGTTTTTTCCATTGTGTCATTTATTTATTTGACGTGGCAGAAAGATATAGAGAATATGAAGATGAACCAATGCCTGCAAATGTCCAGTATATGTACTCGTAAGAGATATTTTTATCTAATATTAAATGGACGCACAGAACTTAGCGAATGCACAGCAACCTGGACAACCAAACCCAGAGAATATTCCAAATGAAGTTAGAATACAAACTGCAATGGCAAACTATGGTCAAGTGCCAACAGATGTACAAATGCAAACTGCCATGTCAAATGACGCTGCGTTAGGTTTGCCACCATGGTATGCAAATATGAGATGGAAAGAGTTTTATACAAACCCTGAAGTGGGATATAAACAACTTTATGCAGATGACGCGAACACAGGAGTTGACCCAGAATATGTTTTCTACCAGAGGAGAAACAGAATGTATGAGCTCCAGTTAAAGAATGCTATGGAACTCAACAGGAAACGTAAGAGACTAGGCGGACATTAGATTTTTACATATAGTAAAATGGGTTTCTTTGGAAGAATAGGAAACTTCTTTCGAAATATTGGAAGAGGTATATGGAATGGAATAAAATCTGTCGGAAGAGGAATTTGGAACGGAGTCAAAAATATTGGTAAAAGAGTAGGTCAGTTTGTTGGTATTATACCTAAAGACCCTGAACCAGAAGAACAAGCTCCTGTTATACAACAGCCTGAACCTGCACCACAGTCTAGTTGGCAACCAAATCCAACACCTCAACCGTATTAAAAAATTATATTTTTACCGTTCGATAGTAGTTGTATATGAAACTAAGTTCTAAGTAAAACGCATGTATAATGGAACTATTCTCTTTCTTCCATCTGTTGTAAACCATACTTGAAAGTCTGAAATACTTCCACTTGGTGGTTCATATAGCTTTGTAGGTTTTTCGTAAAAGTCATTGCCAAGCATAAAAAAGAGTTTTGTGCACCAGAAAATGAAGCATGAACGATAATAGCATCTGGGTCGAAAACATTTTCATATGTTCCATTAGGGTTTTCGACTTCATAAAAGTCTGGGTGTACTGGATATGCTGCAGGCTGATTTAACATCCTCATAAATCTATACCATGCCAAGTTGTTATATTTTGTAGAAATATAAACGTTTTCTCCAAGGTCTTCTATTCTATTGATTTTAACAGTTGCATTTTTCCTGTCATATATAATATCGAGATGGTACTCTCCCTCGTCAATGTTATACTGGTTTGCATATTCGATATAGATGTCGTTTATTTTTTCTTGAAAAGCTTGAAGAGTTGTTTCTAAGTTTACAAGCAAACTAACTTGTAAAAGTTTTCCCTGTTCAAATTTCTCATACGTACGTTTTTCTTTGTTATAGTATCGAACTTCAAAACCGACCGTAAATGGGAAACCATGTATGGCTTCTGAAATGAACTTCATTCTACGAAAGCCAATAGCTTTTGTGACAGATGGGTCTCTTAGCCATCTTAACGGGTAGTCAAAACGATAGCCTTCATGCTTTACGGTCTCTGTCTCAAACTTTTGACCGACATTCGTAAAAAGTTCATCTAATGGTTTAGTTGTAGCAACTCTTGAATTTTCTTTTTCTATTGAAAGCATATTTTATCTAGAATAAAATGTCAAATGAAACAGCGTCTATGAGAGAAATACAACACACCGACAACTCATTATACAAGCTCTAAATAAGAACACAACAAACTTTTCAAACTATTCTAAGATATCTGAGTCATTGAAAGAAGGAAACTTAAAACTGACTTTAAACCCAATGACAGATGAGTTTCTGTTTCAAGACAATAAGAACCATACTGTTTGTATAAATCCAACAAAAGGAACTTTAAACGAGAAACCTATAAAAGAACTTCTTTTGAAAGCAGATGTTGACAACAAAGCAGACAAAACATATGTAGACGATGCAATAGCAAAAGAAGAAGAAAGAGCTGACAAAGCTTATGCAACAAAAGAACATACTCATCCTGAACTAGCAGACAAAACATATGTTGACAATAAAATGTCAAGTGAAGTGACAAGAGCTGAAAACGAATATTCTAAAAAGACTCATACACATACCATTGCAAATATTGCAAACTTACAAGAAACCTTAAACAGGAAAAGTGCCGTTGGACATACACATACCATTGCAAATATTACAAACTTACAAGAAACCTTAAACAGGAAAGTGACGTTGGACATACACATACCATTGCAAATATTGCAAACTTACAAGAAACCTTAAACAGGAAAAGTGACGTTGGACATACACATACCATTGCAAATATTGCAAACTTACAAGAAACCTTAAACAGGAAAAGTGCCGTTGGACATACACATACATCTTCTGAAATAACAGACTTAAACGTTAGCCTTGAAAATAAAGCAGATAAAACATATGTCAATGAAATATACCAAAGTTTAGTTGGAACAAAAAATATTGAAACTATTGTTGGTGACTTTTCTTTCAATGAAGAAAACAAATATTTTAGATGGCAGTTTGTACATTCCTTAAAAAATGGTATACGGTATAAACTCATTCCGAAAAATAACAATGAAATGTATGTAAGCT